GCAGTTCGTGTAAACATCTCGTTGATGATGATATTATACCGTGTTGCAGCAACTTGCGTATGCTCATAACAGCAAATACTGTTCGTACTGGTGCACGCATTTATTTCATATTGCGCAAAAAATACGATGCCCAGGCAATTATTTCAGATAGAATACCAGTGGTTATTTGGGCTTTCTTAGCCCTGATCGTTAGCAAATAGCTTCGCGAACTACTTGGAAAAAGAGCTACGAAACAGCGGGTTACAGTTATGCAATTGTAAATATTGCGATATGGTGACTACTACTAGTATATTGACGACTCATAGAGTAACGGATGTCCACCTGCAAACATTGTGTGCGCCGCAAGGCTTTCGGTTCATATTAGTTTAGTATGTTGGCTCCCAACGGTACTTAGTTCTCGCAAGTCTCTTACCGCGGCAACTCTGCTCAGTTGTGAAGGGGGGAATCATATCAACGCATACTTAATTACTTAGGTAGACTACAGCCTTCGCCGTGGTGTCTTTCTCTTTCACATCGACTCGCGGCTTACGCAACGAGATATTGCAACACAGATCTGAACGTGTGTTTTTAACGTTTTCTCGTGTCACCACTGGGCGGCAGTCGCGCCGTGTCAGCCCTACAATGCCCGATCCCAAAACCGATCCAAGCAAAACATGATCATATTCAATCCGGCTCTTGCTGCTGATACCGCAAAAAAACACCCCAATGCAAATCGTGGTTTTATCATGGCCATACTTTGTCTGGCAGCTGGGCGGGGACGGAGGTCACCCACGCCAAATCTCCAAAGTTCCACGAGTGCTCTAGTAAACGGAACGGCCTGAAGGCCGCACGAAATATCATTAAGTGAAGTTGGGCTCGTTAGAAAGCCAAAGGGCAAGGCTGGCTCATCGTAGAGCCCAGGCTTGCCAATAGTTAAGGGGGCCCCAGGTTCGGTAGGGGCGAATTTGTGAAACCCTGGAAATCGCTTTCACCCCCCCCCCCCCCCTCCTCCGGCTGGTAACCCTAACCTGCATTGAGACACATAGACAACCATGCAACTCAGTGAGTTCTGCTCATCCAGTCCGGAGGTAACCGCGCAGAACACGTTGGTTTGCATCACTTTCCAATTTCCTTTCTTCCGCCAAAGCATCTCCGACGAGTTACTGCCATGCGTCTGCTGCTCTGGATCTTCCTCGCGACGCTGATCACGCTGCTATCGAGCGTCGGGGCAGACTCGACCCGGGTAACCAACTCCGCTACGACCGATTCCGAGCCGGCTTTCGCGCTGAGTGCTACCTACAACGCCAACAAGAAGAAAAACCTGCGGCTCGACGAGAAGGAGGGCGATGCCGACGTTGACGACTACGGCGATGGAGAGAGAGGTGTCTCTACATCAAGCCTCAAGAATCACCTTGGCAAGCTCAAAACCACCTTAACCACGAAGCTGCGTGATATCTTCGGGGCGGGATTCACGAGGATCATGTACAGGCAAGGGGAAACTCCGATCAGTGTCAGGGCGAAGAAGATGGGGGAAAAGAGTTTTTTGCCCGGGATGTTCAAGACACGGTATGAACAAAACAAAGCAAAAGAAGCTGCAAAAATAACTTCCTAAAACCGAGTGTGGGTAGTGCAGGCAGATACTGTAACAAGGGCGGTGTTTGCCGTCGAATCCCATCTTTTTTCTTTGCAAAAAGAGCAGAAGGCATGCCCTAAGGGCAGGTAAAAACGTCCAACGTTTCCAACGTTGGTGTGTGTTTTCCGTTTTTACTCTAACGTTTTTTACCGTCTTTACTGTTAGGTACTTGGCGTAATTACTTGCAAAAGATGTGACTTGGTTTCGCTATTGCGACCCCGATCTTCGACCATCTCCAGCGGTGCCCTATTCGGAGGATTGCTGTAATTTGGGCTCGCGCTACAGGTACAGATCCCGCCGACCGAGGTGGCCGCGCTCGTGGAGCTCTACCACAACCCGGAGCAGTGGGTCGGCGTCGAAGTGGCCATGGCCACGTCGTGGCGCTCGAGCTGCCGGCCAACGAGTTGAGGGGGTGTCTGCCCGCTGCCAGCCTCGCGCGCCTGCCGCAACTCCGCGTGCTCGACCTGTCCAAGCACCAGCTGCGCGGCGAGATCCCGGCCGAGCTGGGGACGCTCGCCGACCTCAAGCGCCTTGACTTGAGCTGCAACGACCTCTCGGGCGCCATCCCGCGCCAGATCGGCGACTGCGAGCAGCTGCAGGAGCTCAATGTGTACCAGAACTCGCTGTCCGGGACGACCCCCAAGAAACTGGTCAAGCCCCAGAGTCTGCGGACGCTGCTGTTGCAGCACAACCTCTGCGGGGCGCTGCTGCCCGACGCGCTGTGTCAACTCACGCAGCTCACGAAGCTCAGCGTGTGCGGCAACTGCCTCACGGGCAAAATCCCGACGGATATTGGCCGCATGCAGGTGATCGTGTTCCTGTCGCTAAGGAAGAACGAGCTAACGGGCATCATCCCGCCGTCGCTCGGCTGCTGCAAGGTGCTCGAGTTCCTTAACCTGTCGAGCAACCAGCTCAGCGGCCCCATCGCAGAGACGCTGGGCGAGCTTGAAGACCTCGAGGATCTCTAACTCTTCGACAACGCGCTGGAGGGCTGAGTGGCCGATAGCATTGCTAGCCTCAAGTTTCTTAAGGAGTCGGACTTCCGAGACAACCGACTCCGTGGAGAGCTGTGCAACTTCCTGGACGGCTGCTACAGCCTTGAATCGGTCATGACCAAGAACCACGAGCTGTGTGGCATCCCCAAGTGCTACACCTTCTACTACGCTAATCTCCGGTGCCGTCCGTGCTATTAGGCCGTGCGTGACGTCGAGTACTGCGGCCACAGCGGCGTTTAAGCTGCCTCACGGTCGCGGTATACCAGGCAACACAGGGTCGTTAACTACCAGTACGACTCATACGACCCCAATGTGTACTTGACATCAAGTGGGAGACCAGCTCACCAGGCGTACGGCAGGTTATTTGAAGTGCTGATTCAGCGCGAGCGGACGCACAAGTAGCAGCGCTACTTGGTCCAGTGTGTGGGTCGCCAGCACGTGAGCTGTGGTTGGTGTATTGACCGTGACATCACCTACACCTTCCGACATACCGCTATGCCTGCCCTTCAGAGGTACTTGGAGTTGCTGCACGGAGCAGCGAATCTGCCATGGCCCAAACCCGCACGACACCCTACGGATTGGTGCTCGCTACGAACAGCAAGGGCAGCCGGGGTTGCTGATCCAGTTCGCGACTATCAACTTGCTGAGCGCGTACAAGAGCCACTTCTACCAGCTCACAACTATCAAGATGAGCGCGTAAAGAGGCGAGAACAGCCCACAGCTCGAGAACGCCGTGAAGGACGCGTGCTGCCGTCGCATGTCGATTGTGTGCTGGGAGCGGCAGACTTCAAGCCGAACAGGTGTTGACGAGTACCTACGCGTATCTATCTAACTTATCTGCTTCGCAGCTGAGCTCGCGATTGCTTGGCGTTGGCCCCTTACTTTCTCTCATCATGTGCATCAACACCAACAACACGAAGGCACGCTTTTCATTTCGCGTAACTTCCTTGAACGATTTCGTGCCGTACTCGTGACTGACGAAATTCGGCCGTGGTAGGAAAGTGAAGTATGTTTGCTCCACAGTTGGAGTGCCAAACCTGCGTTTCATCACCTTTGCCACCTTCTTGCACCTAGTCACAACCACGTCCTTCGTCACCGTAGTACCCAGCCCACCAGAGAGCGCACTCATGTCGATTGATCCATCATGCTGTACAGCATCGAGAAGCGGCATCACGAGCGCCATTACTGACACCACCACAGCAGCATTTTGCCGGTGCTGACGCGAGTCATCGAAATCCAGATACACTGCCATCTTGGCGCACTACTGGCGTCGATTCAAAACAGCACAGAGCTCGTCAAACATACCCGTGAGATCATTGAAAAGTCGTAGCACATCTCGCGATAGCACACGCGTCTGGAAAAGCTCCTTGGAGCAAGTCTGCGTGCGCGGCATTATACAGGACCTCCATCCATGGCACACCACTCAAAACGGACTTGTCCTTCAGCATCAGCAGCCGGAAGATGTTTGACACATCGCTCAAGTGGAATTGTTTCCCTTGTTTTAGTGCTACTTTCCCAACTGGCGGAGTTTCCCCACGATAAATCGCACTCAGCGTAGAAGGTCGAATGTTGCGGCTGTACAGGAAGGACCGGTGGTAAGCACCGTGGGTCGCATGTCGTGACGGAGTGAAAACACTTGCAGCACATCGTCCAAAACAGGAATACGCTCCAGATATCCCTCCTTCACAAGTGCGTTGTACAGATGGCCGAGCGCGCAAAATGTCGACGACGACAGGATAACTTCATTGGCCACGTACAGATACTTCAAGTCGTATTCGAGCATCGAAAGCCCCACGTATATCGGGTTCGCGCTTGCCAAATGCTTGAGTTGTCTGAATTGTTTTATCTCCCCGGAGCAGCGCTCCAGCATTTCCTTGGCTTTTGTAGAGAGCCTCGTTCGTTTCTCCAAGTTGGTGTCGATACGTTGTGCAAGCTCCACAGAATGCTTGAACGTAAGGCTCACGTTTCGACCGAGCCCTCCGTCCCCCTGGAGAGCAGCGACCGATTTAATCCAGCAAATGCACGTGAAAACTACGGGGACTGTCACGACGCGCGTGGTGAAATACGGCTCCATCATCATTAAGAACACATCCATAGGGCCGGAAGGTTTCACGCCTGCGGTCTTCAAAGCCACCATTGAATTGTGCAGCAGCACCAGTTGCTGGATCAGGAACGAGTTGATGGCACACTGACAGGCCGCGAGGGCCTTGGGCAGCTCTTGCAGCAGCTTTGGCGTGAGAACCGACGGATCTGCCGCGATCTCCTCCACGATGGCGCAGTAAGTCTGCAGCTGCACGCGGCTGTGATGTCCGCGGCCACGTGCACGCAGCAGCCAGTCCAGGAAGAAGTTGGTGGCGTCCTTGTAGGCGTGGGTGTACGCGCTCGGAGGGGCCGCCATCTTTGTCTATCGAGGGAGGCGGGGGCCTTGCGAGGGAATTTCGCCACTGAGTTGAACCAGATGCATCATTTGCCGACATATATTGCCATAAATGCTGACAGCATACTGCTCACTATTTAACCCCAATGCTAAAACTTATCAATCATTAGCATCACGATAATGTCCGCCAACGATTTTCGTTACGTACTAGCCGAGTGCCGCCGCTACGCGGAGTTGTTGTAGATGTATCTATTGCTGTAGCTGCACTTTTCCAGGCGAATTCACAATTCGAATGCTCACTGTATTTGAAATATATTATTTGACAATAATAATTCCGTATATAATACCATTATTCTTATTATTGGTATTTGTTAAGAAACAAATTAAAATGGATTGAATATAAAATCAAAAATATTTTTCGAGGCGATAATCAAATTGTATCCAATTATCAGTAATATTGTTCAAACGTTGTGGCGGATCGCGATGGCGACCGCTCTCTTCGAGATGGAGCAGCGCTGGAGCTTCATACTGCCGTGGTGTAAGGTGCTGCACAAGAAGATCAAGCTCAAGCCGTTGGAGCGCGACTGGGATGTGTGGGCAAAAGTACCGGCTGGAGGTGAGTCTTCCGATGCGCTGCCAGTTCACGGAAGATTCCGACGGGGAGGAATTCGAGCTGGACATGGAGTGGTCGGGCGAGGACTACTTCCAGGATAAATTCTGCCAGGTCCGCGAGGCTCTGGCACTCTTGGCAGCAGTGGCTCACGTGGACCAACTGGCCTGGAAGTACCTGCTGAAGGAGCACTGCGGCGTGCGCTTGGGGAAGGAGGGGAGTGCGAAACTACATGTAGAACGGGATCTTCCAGCTGAGTATTATCTGGTATTGGATCACGAGCAAGACGAACGCACGGCATACGAAGAAGACCATCTTGGTCTGAATCTGGTCCAATTCTGTGGCACCGACCACCACGAGATGCCTGTAGATGGGTATCTCGAGACGCTCGCACAAATCGCAGCTTTTGATACCAAGCTAAAGTCTTACAACCCTGGCGTGGAGATTCGAATCCCGGTGCAATGTGTTTATGACGGAGGACCGCACTATCTCAAAAACATTTTGAGAGCAGAGAAGACGATTCATGACATGTGGAAGAGTGTGGAACCGCGAGAGGTGCGGTCGGAACAGCTCAGATGCATGTTCGTGCTCAAGCCTTTGGTTGCTGACTTGGAAGACGTGATGACTTGGCCGGCGATGGTGACGAAAATGGGCAAAATGATGACGCGAAACCTCTGTTTCTCCGAAGTGTCTCTCTGTGCTGAAAGGCATTTACGAGACTTTGGGAGTGAACTTGAGTCGCGGAAGGTGTTTGGTCAACTCATGGCGCATCTCTTTGGCAGCACTCGACGTTCTCGAGAAGTCACGTACCCTGATCGGTTCGGGTGCGATTCCGATCAACACCAACTGGATTTGTTGTCTCTGGATTGCGATCCAACGCTGCTCCCTGTGGACTTACACGCAATGGGGTCGGCGATGGTAGTCAACCAGACAACGAGCAATTTAGTGATGCAGCTGATGTTCCCGCTCGAGCCGTATGATGAGATGACATTTGATCACGAAATAACTACTCACGAATGGCGGCAATGGATTGCTTACGCCTTCTTCTCCAAGAGGGCTCGTGAATGCTCCTCACTCGAGTCTCCTACACTGGTTAACATTCGGACGATGTGCTTTGAAGGCATGCAAGAGGCGTTCGCGGCCATATTGAACTCAGAACACCCAGAAGAAGAGCTGTTTGAATGTCCTCGCGGCAGGGTGGACGAACGGGATGCAACGCTGAAGGCGAATGCTCCAATCCGATGGGAGTTAATGGTCGTCGTGAACCTGTCGAGGGCTCCACAGTTTTCACATTTCCTACAGCAATTCAATTCGTCCGCGCTTTCAGTGACGATGGCAGCAGTGAGTGGGTGAACGTGATAATACCAGGTTTCGGAAGATGCCAAGTCCAGCGTAATGACTTGGAATTCTCCGAAGCGAGTCCCGCTAAAAGAAGGTCTAATGGCGTGATATCCCTCATTCTCAGTTTCGAGAGGGATGAGCAGGCTTCTTCCGACGGCGTAGCGGTCTTTCTCCGAGCCGTTGGGCCTACCCTGATATTGTTGACAATTGAGAACCCCGGTCCAAGGATGAGGCTTCACGAACGCTCCATCCTTTGAAGATGCCCGAATCTGGAAGAGTTGTCGCTTTGCGGTGGCCTAGTTGATGAGCAATTTGATCTCCGTGAAGTTCACACCCAAAAACCAAATATCCCCACCAACAAAGTATCCGTTGGCACCATGTGGCGGATCTTTGCCACGACTTAAGCCAAGCAGACAACCCTTTTGTGAAATGTGTTCGTCGTCTCCGTGTGTGGTTGAACAAGGCGTGGTGGCGATGGAGTCGCCGCCGGGGAGACTACAACCCACCTGCTTTCGCAGCAGATGTAAACGCTCTTGTGCCCATAACACCACAATCGAGTACTTTGAGGTGATTGTTGGTAGGAGACACCAACAGTACCTCGACAGCTTTAAAAAGCTGCACCCCAAGCCCATCGATCGTTCGCTCATATTGCCGACAGAAAACAAGCTAGCATTTCTTAGTGTGCTAGCGCCGAGTGCTTGCCAGCCAGGGGCGAACAAGAAGACCAACAAGGCACCATCCGCTAGACTCTATGGTGTGGACCGGCATGTTCTGTCCCAGATTTTCGCGTTTGCTGAACCTCCAGCGTTACGAGAGGTGTATTTTCGCTGGGATGTCGACGACTATGTCGATGAAGATGCTGGAATTGCCACTTTTAATTGACAATAAAATGGTATTCGCTGGTGACTGTAAGAGTGGAACGCCTCAGTTGAAGTTTTTCTTAAGTTTCATTTCTTTTATTGTACTTTGCAATGATTTTGGCAATATGAGGCGAGATTTGCTGTATTTATAGCGACCACCTGCTAGATTTACGAAAAATCGAGGTGCATAGTTGGGTGGAGGCCTAGAATTACGCTAAAAGCGCCACAATTGCACTTTTGAAAGTGCAATTGTGGCTAGGCAGCTGCAATTCTGTCGGCTTTTATCCACAAGCACCTAGACACACGGCAATTATGCATAAGAGGTTGGATGTGCTGGGGATCATGGACGGGGGGGTACTGGGCCAATGCATGGCTGCTGACAGGCTCTCCCAAGTCGATATATATGTATATATGAGGAGGTGTATTTAGGCATAATTTTAGCAGGTCGTGTATCTTTTTTCACACATATTTAGGAGCAAGCTTTGCCATATTTAGCGTCTAAAATGGTCGGCAAAATCATTGCAAAGCATCTGATTGCTGAGTGAATTATCAGTGATGATACTCAAACATGCGTAGCCCGAGGCAAAAGTTGTTGTGTTTGGCGTGATAGTCTACATGCTTTCTTGTACTGTGCTGCTACCGGGATGGAGTTAAACCGTGCCTACGTTTGGCTATGAGCAAAGACCGTAAACTCATTTTACGGCATTTTACTAATGCTGAAGTATTAACACTTACCCGCTGCTATTGACGCACGGTGTACTATGTTGTGCGCACCTCAAGACAGTGGTAAAACCGCGCATTTTGAGCATGGTTCTGGTGCTAAAAATAGCCAATTCGCAGCCGTTTTCGCGCAACAAGCTCTGCAAAAAGTCGTCTCGGGCGCTGTATTTTTGTTTTAGAACGGCGAGACTGGATTGGTTCAGTGCACAACACGTGTAAAACTGACTTTATGCGATAAAACGTACTGAATGCATTAACCCATCTGCTTCAATCCCTATCCAATCATAGAGGCTCTCTACGACTATAACAACGTCAAAGCAAAAATTCTACTAGTGAAAGTATAAAGTTTCACAATAACGTCGATGGTGTAGTTAAACCCTAAGGTGCCTCCGGCAATGAGCTTGCCTCGACAAAGTTCGTGAAGCACATAATGTTGTATTGTGCCATCGAATGCTAGATCATGTTCATCCAGTAAGTGTTTGTAAGATCTATTCGTTGGCGAAGGTCGCAGTGGTCAGTTCGCTCTAGTTTTACCGCTTTTCCTTGAGGAAAATTTGCCCGCCCATTAGGGTTCTTACTCCTAAAAAGAGATGCTGTCTTAAGGGCGGCAGGTAGTCGTCAACTCTCCCTTGCGGCCACCACGGTGGATATGAACGTGTTCCCCTTGTATTCTTCTTTTATTCAAGCCGCGGATGGACTCAAACGCACAAGTATTGGTGGAGATATGATGTCCTATTTCGGACGTTACAAAATTCGGTGACTTACTAGCCCCATCATTTTCTGCCACTATAATACTGGGCGTGGAGAGGAGAAGGCTATAATACCACAGCAATTCAAGGGCGTTTGCTCAACAGTGGCACTGTTGCCGAGCGTCCACATTGCTTACTTAGTTTTGGTTTTGATCGTCAACATTGTTTACTTCGTTTGTGTATGGGGAGGGGTTGAAACGCGAATTGCTGGGAAAATGTACGAGAAGCTACTGCAGCAGAAGTTCATCAAGCTGTACAACAAGGGCGAGACGCCCCTCACCCTACGAGCGAAGCGCATGGGAACCGACAACGAATTCGTGGCCAAATACAAGGCTTTCTGGGACTTCGTCCGCAAGAACGGAAATGTGCCCAAACCGCAATGAAGTAGGACCTGAAGAACGTGCACCTCTAACCACTGTAGGTACTTGGGTTTACTATGTAGAATTCAAGGTATAGTGCAATGCGCACCGGTAATGAGACTGGATATTCTGACAAGAAAGCAACATTCATCGCACTCATGAGTTTCTTCCCACAGTTTTTTTTTCTTTTCTTCTCGCATGTGCCACAAGCTTTAGCATCTTTCGAAACATGCGTGGCAAAACAAACTTTTGACGTGAATAGTGAACATCGAGAGTCACTTGTGCCTAGATTTTAGTTTAAGGTGAAATTTGTACTTTGAAGTATATTTAAGCTGCGCATGCAAGAAAAGAAAACTGACTACCTATTGTCAATAATTTGCCATGCTGTACCGAGTGACTTATTGAATAGTTTAACCCTTGCGTGCCACATCCAACTCGATTGCGATTGAGCTCCGACCGATAAAATAAAGCTACTTAGGGTCCGCCATGTCGAAGATCGAGTTGTTTGCTGCCCTTCGAACCCGACAAAATAGCTTTCGTGGGTGCCCCAAGGTCTTTTCAACCAAAACTCCCGATGCTCTTTTCAAGTCTTTGACAGTTTCCAAGTTCCAGTGATCTTGCAGCGTTTCCAGACCTTCTCCACACACCTGCGTTTTTGACAGAATACCCACAAGATGCTCCGCCTTCAACGATGGCAAACGCTGCCAGGCACACGAATATCATACTTCTTGCCCTCAAACAATGGCACTGAGCTCAGGACAAGCAGGTGGATTTGTCGAGTTTGCATCCATGACCATAAAACATTTCTGCAAAACTGGATAAAGCGGCCGTGCGACTGGAAGAGCCTTTCGAGATCATCAATCACAATAAAAAGAGGGCTCACTTCCTTGACTAGACGCTTGACATATCCTGACACCGAGAATGGTCCCAATTGCTGCTGTATGCGATCTGTTCCAGGCTGAAGCTGCTCCCCCACGGCTTGTGCAAGCGCCTGGTTTGCCGTTTCTATAGTTATAGCATCTCCAGCAGACGCAAGCCGAAGAAATATTGTCCGACACTGACACAAGTCGCGGTGAAGCCCGAATACTTCTCGTTTTCCAGGAGGCCAGGTCTCACGGCACTTGAAAATATAGTTTTTCGCTAAAGCTGTTTTACCCATTCCAGAGCCAGCAACGACTAGCGGAATCTGTAAATTGTCAGGTTTCGGCAAGTTGTTCGCCCCACAGTAGGATACCAGATGAATTCTCTGTAATGTCTTGACGACTTCATCACGAAATACATATTGCCTTTATCCAGAGCGTACACAGGATCGAGTTCTGGCTTCCGCATCGGCTGTATAACTAGTGGCTCGGACGTCTGGACCAGCACGTGCACTTCTCTCGGTCTTGGTAGATTTACGGAATCTCGGAACTTGAATTCCTCAAGGAAGTCGCTGCTCCCCAATTGCGTCGGGTTGTCTACTATGCTGACAAAGCATAGCGGTAACCTCCCAACGTTGAGACTTCTGATGTCTGTGTCTGTCACAATTGGCCACGAACCGTCGGGGTTCTTCGCTAGGATCAGCTTGAGCTCGGCGTCTGAGCACGCGATGGTCTGCGAAAACGCCGCGTCTTTGAGACTGTACCCACAGCTTCCTGTCGAGACGAAAGATAGTTTCTCCGCCAGTGCTGGTGAGCACGCAGTGGATAAGGAGCTCGGTCTGTTCCATCATGGGTTTGGTAGTCTATGAAGTTGATGCGACGTGACCAAATTCCGACAAGGTGAATTCTGAAAAATGATTCTGAAGTGCTAAAAAGTTTTTTTTTGTTTGCCTAGCAACAAGAATGTTGTCACTCGCATCAACCCTCTCGAACGATCCCGGTACCCGAAGAGACAAACCCTTCTATACGAAGGGAAGTTTTACAGGTCTGTAGGCCATGTTGATCAAACTGGGCTCCCAGGACAGTGAACATCTGGAGTACGACCCTTTGAACTCGCTCCACATCGGCTTTGGTAGCGCCCCCGTAGACAATTCGTATATCGCTATCGCACAAGAACGCGAACCCCTTCATTTCACTGAACTGCACGGGAATCGAATCAACAAGAAGCTTCAACTGAGCAAGATGTTGATTTGTTGTACTGGCCGCTGGGCTGCATTCAAAGTACAACGGCCGACCAGCCAACGCATCGAGAGCCAACTGCAAATCGTAGCTCTCCACCACATTCGTCAGATACCATTCTAGGCGTCGAAACGCGTCAGCATTCGATGTCCGACCGAGTCCCATGGCTTCTCGACGCTCCGAGTAAATTTGTGCCACCTCTCTAAAAGAGGGCTCTCGCTTGTGAAATGGAGTCTTCAGCAAGCGCTTCTCCAGCACATCGAGAGTTTCGCGAGCCTGTCCATTTCTCTCGACAGAGACAGAGATTTGAGCTGCGGATACGACAAATTTGGCAAATTCCAGTGTCGTTGCACAGAGCTCGCGGACGTCATTCAGTTCCGGAACTGTAATGACGGCGTGGTCAATACGGTAGAACTTCTGCATCAAGTTGATACCGATTGACGCTTCGGTGGCAATCACGGATCGGATATGAGGGTACGTCGAGTTGAGACTGCTAGGTTCGGCATGCGACTTCACAAGCCACACCAACTCCTTAATCATTCCACAAGCATTCTCCACGACGTCGGCTTTCTCACTGGCAGGAACGTTCGTGTCTTTGAGACGGTTGAAAATCGCCGTTTCCTTGCTTCTCAGCATACTCTCGAGCTTTGTCAGACTCTCCGACTCGAAACTCTCGTCGACCTCGGCACCAGCTGCATCTAGGAGGCGCAAGTAGATGCGCGCACTTTCTACCGACCTGTTATTCGAGGACTTTGCAGCTGTAGCGATCATTGATTCCTCCTTGATGGCGCCAGACACCACTTTACTGTTGTTGTTGTTGTTGTTCTTCTTCTTCTTCTTCTTCTTCTTCTTCTTCTTCTTCTTCTTCTTCTTCTTGGCTGTTTTCCTGGCACTTGCACGCGTACTTTCATTCTCCACGTTGTGCTGAGCAGTTGCTGCCTGACGGCGTCGCTCCGCATCTTTTGAGCGAAACAATGCCTCACGCTTGCGTACGTCTTTGATAGTAGGATTAAAGAATTTCGCCGCCGATGCTGCAATCTCACGCGACCATTTCCGATCGGACGTTACATCACAAACGCGTCTCCATCACCGTCTTTGACTCGAAGGTCGATTCCAAACGCCTTATCTAGGTCGAATACATCACGATGCCCATTCTTGACGGCCAGATGCGCTAGAGTTTCCTTCGTGTGGAACGTTTGCGTGTTCAAGTCGGTGAAATTATCCGTCTCGAGAAGTACTCGGACAATGTCCGCATGCCCTGCGATCGCTGCACTATGCACAGCCATGGTATTCGGTAAAAACTGTCGGCGGCATGGTAAATCCTGTTGCCGTGGCTCTTCTCGACAGTGTCTCAGCCGTCCGATTTGAGCTCCCATTTGCACCATCCATTCCACTAACTCGACGTCGTGAGCAGGGCCTGCGGCTGCTTGATGCAATAGCGTAGAAAGCTCATTGTACGGCTTCTCGGGGCTCGGCATCACCTTGCTTAGTAAGTCAGTGTCGCGTTTTAGTTCCGACTTGAGGTAGTTCAAATCGCTTGTAGAAAGAGGGCCAGCGCTCTCGCTCATCATCTTCATCAACTTCGCGAACACCTTGTCGGCATGTTCATCCTCACTCTCTGTTTTTTCATCCAGCAACAGTTTCCCATACTCTTGTGTCGCAAAATCTGGCTGTGACGGGAATGTAAAGTATTTCTGCTCGCAGATTTGTGGCGGGGTCGCGAACCTGGCTTTGATCACTGCTGCCACCTCCTGACACATTTCCTTGGCGAGCAACATATCAAGTGGAATCGACGTAGGCATCTTACTTGGAAGCATGCTCATGTCAACAGATCCATGGGGCTACATGGCATCCATGAGCGGTATCAGCAACTTCATGACCGACTCTTCCCGCGCCCGGTTCACACGTTGCTGACGAGATTCGCCAGCTATTGGGATTGCTACGATCTCCTGGAAATACTCTTGTTGACCCAATACCTTGATCAGTTCAGGGAACGTGTCCATGAGATCTTCATTCAGTTTCAGTAGGTCTCGTGATAGCACTCGCGTGTCAAACAGCTCCTTCGAGCATACATCCGAGACAGTCTCCAGTATATCTTTTCACGATCCAGCGCTCAGAACGGACTTGTCGTTCAGTCTCATCAGCCGGAATATCTTCGACACATCGCTCAAGTGGAAGGCCTTGCGTTTCTTGTAGGCTTCACCTCCAACAGGGACATCTTCCCCACGGTGCACTGCATCGATCGCTGAAGCCCTCAAGTTCGCGCTGAGTAGGTACGTACGGTAGTAGCTCCCACGACTCGCTGCAGCACGAGATGGAATGAAAACCTCTTGATCATATACCTCCAACACGTCGTCGAAAAACGGAATGTGGTCGAGATATCCGTCTTGCACGAGCGCGTTGTAAAGGTGGCCGAACGCTCGAAATCTCGATGTGGCAAACAGGACCTCGTTGGCGATGTGCAGATACTGGAAGTGGTGGTTCATCATCGTAAGGCCTGCGAACAGTGGGTTGGCGCGTGACAGATGTTGCATACAGACCGATTGCTTTATCTCCGCAGCGCACCGCCGTAGGAGATCGTTGGCTTTGTTGAAGGCAATCACGGCCTTGCTGTTGGCTACAGCGGCATCAATGTTTCTCAGCAAATCCTTCGAGTGCTTGAATGTCATACTGATGTTGCGACCGAGGTTTGCACACCCTTGCAGTGCAGCCACCGATTTCATCCAGCAATGCACGCAAATACCACAGGGACCGTCACCTCTCTGGTGGTGAAAAACTTATCCATCAGCGCCACAAACGTATCCATCGGTGCCGGGTTCTCGTATCCAGAACCTGTGACCATCCTTTTCTCGGCGATGAAGTTATACAGCAGCGGCATCTGTTGCAGCAGGAACACCTTGTTGTTGTTGGTTTCCGGTAGCAGCACGTACGTTGGCGTTCGGTCCTCACCATAGGCTTCCCCGAACGCTCCGTCCTGGAAAATCACTCGTTGTTTTGTATCGAACGGGATAGAAGGGAGGAGGGCATCCAACGTCGTACCAACCCCCAGTAGTTCAATCAGAAACGTACCAGGAATGTAATTGGGCAGATAAACCCCAGGCTTGCTCGTGTCAAATGAGCGATCGAGCTCCTTCATGATCTTGGTATGGAGATCCACAATCTTCTTGCGGAAAGTCTTCAGCGAGGCATTCCGCACGATATTGAACATATCTTTGGCCGACCGAAGCGACGGATACCGCAGCTGCAGACGCGCCGTCAGTGCACTGGCAGTGTCCATGGCCAGCTTGACCACCACCGTGGCCAATTTCCGCCGCCGCATTGAAAGCCCCATCGGGATCCGGTACCCTCCCTACTAGATACCCCACGACGTTGACATGCCCATTTGCAGCAGCGGCCACCAAAGCTGGCTCAAGATCGGGACGCCGGACGAGGAAATGACGGGTCAGGAACGTCACTGCATCGAGGTGGCCGTGTCTGGCAAGAAGCTCCGCCGCCCCAGATCCGAGGGCTGCGTAGATTGCCTGAAGGAACTCGAGCACCAGCGTGTGGCCGTTGGACGCAGCTGCGATGAATGCGGCCTTGGAGCAGCCTTCCTCTCGCTCGTCGTGGAGCCGCTCGCGCGGGACACGCTTTTCGTATCGCTGTGTCTCAAGTTTGCCATCGCGGATCACAGTGCGATGACGAGTGCGAATACTATCGGAGCCTGCGAGGGTAGTTCCACGGTTCGATATCAGCATCTTGGGCTTTCGATCCGCCCAGCACAACGTATAAATGGGTTTCCGTTGTCCGTAAAACTTGACATGATCTTGAACGAACCCCGGGTCGGCTGCGTGTCAATCCAAGTTTTCATGTGGCACTTTGGATATTCTACGCTTGCCGTTTTTACAATGCCCATAAAATACAGACCGAGCTTTTTTTCGAGTTGCACTAGTGTTTTCACCGAGGCAAAAGCACTATCAGCCACAACAGTTCTCCCTGTGCCTTTGTATTTTTCCGTCAATCGCAACACAACCGAGGTACCCTCCCCAAATTCACTACAGTACTCTTTGCGACGTTGGCGAGCGGTACCTTCCATTAGTTCGAGTCCCAGCAACACACCACTATCTCCATCTGCGAGCGACTTCAACTCTGTCCCCTTTCCTTCAGGTTTGCGTGCAATTTTAGTCACATGGGGAAGTCCATCGTGAGTGTACTTAGCATCCCGGCCTTTCCAGGCACTCATGCACTCGTCGACTACGATAATGTTTCCAGGAGAAACATGCTTGGTTCTCTGATCGTTGAATCCCTGAATCAATGGACGTATCGGGTACCACGGGTCACTAGTCGAGTTGTTGTCGGAAAATGAAAGTGCGTACATTATTTGCTCAAAACAGTGCCGTGTCATCTGAAATCTCTCCCCGTAGTTGCTCGGAGTATTCACGCAACCTTCTTTGTGTTGTGTTTCCCAATAGACCCGCAGGGATCCCCGTCGTGGCTCCACAGCCATCGCTAAACGAATACCTATCCAGCGAAAAAAGTCACCTGGTCCAATAGAGCGAAATGAACTTGCCGCCAAATTATTGTTGGTAAGTCGAATAGTTTCATTGAGAGTGCCCATGGGGTACATGATGTAGAAGTATTTAATTAAGGACTTCTCCCCAAGGTGAACGTGCGCCGGCCACAGAAATGTAGTTGATCGCGAGGAAAATTGACACCCCGCGTCAACTGAGACAGAATCACAGGGTACCCACATACGGCCGTGAGCGACCACGGTATCGTCGTCTTCTTCTTCCGAGTGGCCTTCGAGTGTTTCATCATCGTCACTGCCGTCGTCTTCGCCGCTAGAAGAACTCTCTTCCTCCCAAACTACTTGGCAGGCACCCTCCGTGCTGCCAGGTACCAATGAGCCCCCATCGCTGGTTTGGCCATCTCCACCGTGGTTCAAAGTGACTTCAATGCTTATTGAGCGCGCGGACACAATGTCAATAGCCCTCGTACTCCATTGGACCTCGTAAGTGTGCTGCCTGCCCTCCTTCAGCACGCGAAGGATGACTCCAGTCTTGCCAGCGTGTTTCTTACTTTTACCGCAAACCCGATTTCCAACCTGCAGCTTTGGCATCTTCCCGAGGTCAGATTCGACGCGGAATGAAAGTCTGAAGTCCTTGTTATCTAAGCTTGCTGGTGATCTATTTATTTGCGCGCGTCCGTTGCAGGGAGAGCCAAACTTTATTTTTAAAGTTGAGGCTACCGGTAGTCGCGCCATCCTACTTATCCTACCGATGGGGAGTAATGATTAAAGGAAATACTTAGAGAAATTGTAACACGGTCTGGACAACCACGGTGGCGAGTTCTGTTCAGCTGCTGTGGATGCGTCGTCCAGCTGCTCTTTCCTGACGAGGCGCATTGGTGAAAGCTGTAAATGGTTATTTTAAAACGAAGAGTGAAAATAGCTTTTTAGGAGGAAGGCGGCAGAGATGAAACCACCGTAGAGACCGTAGGCAGTCGTTAGTTTCATCTTTCCGCTCTAGCGCTTAAGCTCACCACCTCCCTGCTTCCTACCCTCAGCCTTCCTGAAGATGGTTCGCCTCTCCAGACGCTCCTTCCTCCATCTACGGCCGGAGCAAGTCGACATGGCCATGGGCATGCCGTTCTTCGCGAAGGTACTCCGGCTGGGACCTGATCAAGTGGCATTTCGCAGCCTCGAAGGAGAAGAAGGGGTCGTGCCTCGTGTTGTGGCAGAGGATCAGGTCGTCTTGACAAGCTACGTTACCAAGTCAGCGCGTGTGTCCTACCTACGACGAGCGGTCGCGGCTACGGGGGCGGGGTCTGTTCATTACGGCCAAGTCATCGCGACGGTAGGCGAGTTGCTTACAGTTCGCTCCGACTGGCAACATGTTGAGGTCGAGCTGGGGGGGGGCTTCTTTGGTGCTGCCAATCGTTGCCCCCCTCCTCGAACATGTCGAGTTCAACTGCGCGGAGTGGACCCAAAGCGAGCTCAAAACGTTAGAAACCGAGATCGCCAATCGGGTTCTAGAACGGGGTGGCAAATAGATAAACCGCCAGATCCAAAATTAATGTCGAATGCCCGCGTACATACGCCTGGGAGGGCTTTGAATTTCACGTGCTCGGACCGAACCATACTCTTGACATAAACATTACCGGTCTTACCTTTGTGCTTGGCAGACGTCACTCGATCATGCACAAATTGTTGCTCCTCGCGCGGGTTGAAATCGTACTTGGATGCCGTGTTTGACTTCTTGCGGGGAGAAGGTGCTGCAAGCGCCTGCGGTAGCTTGCTCTCACTGCCTTCGTGGACTGCTGCAGCGTCTCGGACGCACACCGCCTCTTGTCGAATACTTAGAAACCGCTCTAACAGCTCCGGGTCACAGCTTAATTTCTCCACAATAAGCGCGTCCTGATCCAACGCGGGCCGAGAACGCTTGCTTGTTTGACCAATCTGCATAGCGCCATCCGACACAGTAGCGCGCTTACCCAGCGTGGTGGCAGACCCTGCTGGTGCGCTCGCGCGCTCCAAGCTGTCTTGAGGCGACTCATCGTCATCGCTAAACGGGTCGAAGAGCTCGTGGACCTCCTGTACTGATCCTTGACCACTGGTATTTCCCGCTCGGTCCTGCGAGAAAGCTGGTGGCCGGAAAAACGCGTCCCTACATGTGAAGGCGCGGGACCTGCACCGCCATCGACGAAATATGCGAAGTCCAGTGCGTGTTGAAGTGTAAATTCAGCTTCGGCACCAGTCTTCGAATCTATCCAACCACAAAGCTTCGTCGAGTCAGGAAAACTCTCATCGTTTTTCTTAGTATATGGTCATCCAATCTGCCAACCCGTTAAGATCACATGACAGCGACGCCATATATCCTGAAGTGCCTAAGACGTTTAAAACCCTAGCAAACTTCTTAAAGCTGTGTCCAGCGTTCCTCCGCCCGACAGAGCATCAATTTGGTGGCGGCATGCCAGGTTATATTGATTGTTGTGTTGCACTAGATAAGCACGAAAAGTAGTTCGTACTCATACCACAAGTACAGCAACCATGTCAAGAATGTTATGACACTTGTCTGGGAGTCTGCAAGAAGCGAGGGCGTCCGTGGCGTGGTAGTTCGCACCTCAATATTTAAAATTAACGCATACCGATTCAGTCACGAAATATACCGATTTGGCATTTAAAATTGATTTCATACCGATTTGGTCATTTTCCCGTATTTTGAGAGGAGACGACGAAGGCGAGGCTGAAAATGGTTTTCTCGGCGAGGAGAGATCATGGTTTTTGCTACTGGACACAATACGAGGAAAATCGAGCTCTCCAAGCCAGCTGTGTGTGCGTAGATGCCTGGTTTTCCCCGCCGAACGGCTCCGTATGGATGCGGCATCCGATGGCGGTTTTTTTTCCACGCTAGGTAGGGTAGTTAGTGGAGCAGCGCCATTCGTGTTCTTGAGGCGTGACTATCAAGAGAGAGAAGGCCCTAGGTACTTGACCTGGTGGCGTATATTTAGGCACTTATTTATTGAGGCGCGACCATCAAGTGCCGGCTCCGTCAACGACATCATCGCCGCGGTCACGCGCTCGACCCACCTCGCCGCTCCCTGGGCTGGCCTCTCCAGCCCCAGTCTCGGACCGACGCCGCGACCGAAGCTTCGCGCTGCGACGATCCTCGACTCGGCCCTCCGAGGCCAAGTCTTTAATGCGAATGGACTGCTCCTCTTTGCCCCATCATCTTGACCAGCGGAGAAACGTGGGGTGAATCAGGGACAATGTGACGCGTGTATGTATACCGGCCTTCATTGTAATCTTTAACAACGTATTTTGTGCATGTATTTATATGATGCATGTATTTATATGATGCATGCGTAGAAGTAAATTCAAGTGCAATGCACACAAATGCTAGTTTGCTGATTAGGTATGGGTTGTACATCTTTTGACTCCGTCGGTTATCGGAAGAGGCTATAAATGTACCACGATAATAGAGAATATCATAAACTGAAATACATACAGCAAAGAGGATTGTGTGTCGGTATTATTACATCGTACTTAAAATAAGTTACAACGAAGTATTATTATAATAATACATGTATAATACCTCGAAGTACAGGCTGTACCCTACAGCAAAAAAGGCCTGGTGATCCGGCACAGTTTTATGCTGGATTACGGGAACACTGAATCACCGTAGTCCACACGGTGCATACCATATGTACATGTATTCTGGAATATGAGAACAGCTTTGCATAGAGCGTGTAATGCACGCCTATCCACCTTACTTTTTTTAGAATCGGGATTCTGCATTCCCGATTTTCTATGAAATATAGAAGTCTGCGCAACCAACACCAAGAATCGATTCTTCCAGCTGCCGAATCCCTATAATGCTCAATTAACGCTATTATCAAGGCCTAAGCCCTAGGGCATTCAGTGATCCCCGATCACTCAACACTGACACAATATGCACACATTTGATGAGTCGGAGTCTTGCATGTAGTTTTTGCTTTCCCAGCAATTCGCGTTTCAACCCCTCCCCATACACAAACGAAGTAAACAATGTTGACGATCAAAACCAAAACTAAGTAAGCAATGTGGACGCTCGGCAACAGTGCCACTGTTGAGCAAACGCCCTTGAATTGCTGTGGTATTATAGCCTTCTCCTCTCCACGCCCAGTATTATAGTGGCAGAAAATGATGGGGCTAGTAAGTCACCGAATTTTGTAACGTCCGAAATAGGACATCATATCTCCACCAATACTTGTGCGTTTGAGTCCATCCGCGGCTTGAATAAAAGAAGAA